ATACACAATTATGCATAAATATCAAACATTTGTATATGAAATGTTAAACAGCATAACATCTTAAGAAAATGACAAATCCAAACTGATTGAAAAAAGACACATATGTTATATTCTGATGCATAATAATTTTACAACGTCTAAATCCTGAAGTTTCTTTATTAATAAAAAACAAACGTCTCATCCTCTTCACAACATTTGTACATTACTGCTGAACGGGGTTGATCCATTCCATAAATGTTTTAAAACAATATATCCAACTGCAATTTTTATTTCAAAAGAAAAAGGTATATTTACTGATGAAATGATAATCACACTAGATGCACAGCAGGCGGAATCATTTCTAGGACAGGGATAATTTTTTTTTTTTCATTTTTCTCACACACTTGACATCATTTGAATCCCCCATATTTCCATAAATTATTTATTTACTCTCTGCTGCTGTTCTTTGTTTGTTCAATTCAATTGTAGGATCAAACTTTAATAAATTTATCGCCCGTTTTTCTCTGTTATAAGCTATTCCTCAATCTCAGCTTCAAACAAGGTGTTTTGTTATCAAAGAATGTTTCGTAAAGTGTCAAGTAAATTCTGATTGTTCACAAAAGATGCGAAATCTTTTGTCAAAACTTGGAAACCAACTTCAGAAGCGACATACCTGTAGGTTTCTGTGTGTGCCTACCCACTTTAAAGTGTTTACCACTTTCTGGCTGTATTTTGGAGAAATATGCATTATTTTCTCTATCTGATGAGGACATCTTCACTCATGAATCTTTACATTGGAAGTAGTCAGAAATCAAATGAGCTATTATTTGAATCTTAATTTACCTGGCACTGTCCACTATCCCTTTTGTTTTCAGCCCTCACTCTCTGGACAATCAAGTATGTTCTTAATCATAGCATATACACAACCATCACCTGGAACAGTTTATTAAGTAAACAATAGAGAAAATGTTTTAAGTAGGATGAAGTCCTAAAACAGCCCATTCTGTGAGAGAAAAACTATTCTCGGCCCTTCGGGTCTCGAAAACTTTTTTTTCCCACAGAATGGATAGTTTTCGGACTTTCTTCTTTACATAAGATATCCTAGTAAGAAATATTGATTAATTTTACAGAAAAGGAAATCATTCCTGTTTTCAAGACTATAAGAATATTTCAGGGTAAATTTTCACCTTCTTACTTTTTAGCGTTGCTCAGTTCATATTTCAAGATTTTTTTTTATAAATTCTAAAAAAAAAATTATGTCACAGCTTGTTTCGGTTATTTTGGACAGAATTGCTCCAATTCATGTATGTACGGGTACTACAGACATGGATGTCGTGAGCGTTGTAATTGTAGTCAAAATCAAATATTTGAAAGAGAAAGAAGGTGTATTGCAAACACCTCATATTCTATAGCGAGGAAATTTTTTTCATTTAATGCATGATTCCGTTTAAGTATAAGTCGCATTATCCAGCGATGGGGTATACGATGAGAAACCGAAACGTTTTTTGATGAAGATGGCGTGGTTGCCGGCCGGGCACCACTAATGATCGGACGGTGACTGAGGCTTTTTTGCGAATCGGTGGGGTCATCGCTAGGAAATAATTCGTAGTTCAGCGATGCCTCCAACGATGCCTCACATCGCTCCTCATCGGCAACCCATCATTAACACATCTTTCAAGGATCGGCCGATGTATGGACGAGCATCGTCCAATATCCGTTGAATCTGAGGTCATCGGGGAGTTTAGTGGTGTTCAACAGATAACGACCGATCATCGGTCGATATTCGACCAAACATTGGCCCCTAGTCGACCGATGTTCAAGTGATGTTCATCAATGTATGAGCGATGTAATATACATCGACCGATTATCCTGGAACATCGTTTTATGTTTAGCAATGCATCGCTGGGCCTTTGTAAGTCCGGCCGGCAACCACGCCATTTTTATCATAAAAGGCACTGGTTGCCCATCGAATACCCATCGCTGGATAATGTGACTGATTCTGTAAGGACTACAAGGCCGATGTGGACCGATGTAAGGGCATCGTTAACACCACGGATTACTACCGATTACCAGCGGTCTACGGCTATCGGCCGGGAAATGTGACCTAGGCATTATCAGGGTAAAGATACGGCGGATATTAACTCTCGAAAGATGAGTGTTACCCTTTTAAGACACAACTTTCCGTCACTGTTTTTTTTTAGAATACCGAACAACTTAAGGATTCATTTTTCTGATCAAAATTTGTCCGCTGCCTGTCGTTGTCGTCGTCGTTAACTTTTCACATTTTCATCTCCTCGAGAACCACTTGGCCAATTTCAACCAAACTTGAAACAAAGTATTCTTAGGTGAAGGGGACTCAAATTTGTTCAAATGAAGAGCCACACCCTCTTCCAAGGGGAGATAATATGAATGGGTGAACAATTACTGGAATTTTTAAAAAAAATCTTCTTCTCAAGAACCACTGGGCCAGAAAAGATGAAAATCATATGGAAGTATCCTCAGGTAGTGTATATTCAAGTTTGTTCAAATCTTGACCCCCGGGGGTAGGGTGGGGCCACAATGGCCAATGAAAGTTTTACATAGGAATATGTAGGAGATATCTTTAAAATAAATTTTCAAAAACCTTTGAGACATGAAAGATAAAATTCATTTGAAATCATCCTCAGGTAGTGTAGATCCAAGTTTGTTCAAATCATGACCCCCGGGGGTAGGGTAGGGCCAAAATGGCTGATCAAAGTTTTACATAGAAATATATACTAGGGAAACCTTTTAAATCTTCTTTTCAAGTACTTAAAAGCCATGATTAGTGAGATTTATATGGAATCATCCACAGGTAATGTAGATTCTAGTTTGTTCAAATCATAACCCCGAGGAATAGGGTTTGGCCACAATGGGGGATTCAAGTTTTACATTTAAATATATACTTTTTAAAAAATCTTCTTAAGAATAGCTAAGTCATGATTAGTGATATTTATATGGAAGCATCCTCAGGTAGTGTAGAATTAAATTTGTTCAAATCATAACCCCAAATGGTAGGGTGGGGCCACAATGGTTGATCAAAGTTTTACATAGAAAAATATGGGGAAAAATCCCAAGAACAGAAAAGCTATGTGTAGTCATATTGACATCTAAGCATCCTCATGTATTGACGATTTAAATTTGTTCAAATCATGACCCATTGAGGTAGGGATGAAATCAACGTGAAATAAAATTCATATTATTACGAATTAATATACAGGAAATAAATGTGTTTAAGAAATCTTTATATCAAGAACAGTAAAGTCATATGCTGTATAAATATGAAGGCATTCTTAAGTAGTATAAAAATTCAAGCCCCCTGCCCCCCCCCCCCCCAACCCCCTCAGTAAACGTTTCAGTTCTGATCTGATTTGTGCTTTTCCTAGCCGATTTGCTCAGGTGAGCGATGTGGCCCCTGGGCCTCTTGTTATAGTGATATTTTCGTAGCTTAACAGTCATGCAAAGATTACTTATTGTGCTTATTTTAAAGTGCAGAATTCAAATGTCCCCCAGGAAAAATTATAAAATTATTGACTGAGTTCGAAGGCAACACGCGTTTTGTTGGACCCAAGAATCAAACCGTCTGCATTTTCTACGAGAAAATAGGTAATAAATGTTTTGTTATACCTGTCATTTTCACTTTTGGACATACAAGTACTTTGTACTGTCTTGCGTGATGTAACCTTAGGTTCGTCATTATATTGTTTAACGAGAATGAATCCAAATGAGATTAAGCTCCGCCAATTCTTTGACGTACGAAGGATATAGAGATAACGAACAGTATTCAATCTCAAAATCCATAAAACAATACAAAGAAAGAGCAGAGCGAACACGGACCCCCGAAACATCAGAGGTGAAATCAGGTGCCATAGAGGAGTGAGCATCCCCTGCCGACCGGTCACATCCGCCGTGTGCTCCTTGTAATGATCAGGAAATAACGGAAAAAATCCGTCGTCAATTCAGCGTATAAATAATGGACAAACAATTGGTATGAAAAACGTCAGTCAGCATTTTACTCAATGATAAATTGTATTTTCTGACAAGGTCATTGTATCGACCATAGAACTTACGAAATGATGACTTAAACCGAGACGGCTGATATTCTTGTTTCGTCAACTTGCTTGTCAATAATTTACTTTGTTGTAGAAATTGTTCATACGTAAGCGGTCCAACATCTCATCGACCGGTCCAACATCTCATGATCACTCAGCGGTCGAACATCGATTTTTTTTACCCGCCAGGAAAAATAGTAGAGATGTTAGTCTTTTTTCGTATAGATTTGTAAAGGAACAAATTTTTAAAGATATAACTCTTAGTTATAAAATGCGTATAGTTTTTAAATTTAGTAATGCATTTGTATGCCGTTCTTCATTTCAATTAACAAAACCATAGATATAGGTTCTTATTCTGGTTTGTTATGATATTTTGTAACACAAATAATTCTTTTTTTAAGACTCTTCAGTTTGTTATGATTCGTGAGTTTTTTATTTATTATTTTACTAAATATTTTGAACCAAAATAATCATTATTAAATGCTGACCCGAGTATTCTATACACTCAATTATTTATTTAATTAAAGATAAACTAAAACGATTTATTAGATTTATTATACTGTAGAAGTACTTTTTTCCGCGTGGTATTAATTTACGCTATGTACACGGTCACAAATATTCCGCGGAAATTTGTCCAAGCGAACTTAATATAAATGTAAGGCATTTAGTGACAGTATAAGAAATCCGCGTTATTTTCTACCCGCGGATTAAACAGAAATTTAGATTCCGCGGAATTATGACCCCGTGAATAAAAGTACGTCTACAGTATTTGAAGGAAAATAATGATAAATAAAAGGTGATAAAAAATAAGATGTATCTTTTCTGATGTCATTTTCAAAAATTTTGTTTTTGTTTGCAGTAAGAAAAATTCTCAAATTGTTTATATAATTTATTCAAAATTTTATTCTTTAAAAATGCTTAGTAACAAAAGTTATTGAATTTTACAGAAAAGGAAATCCTTCCTGTTGTCAAGATTATAGGAATATTTCAGGAGAGTGCATAGGTACATTTTCATCTTTTTTACTTTTTTCTCAACGTGCAGTTCATATTAAAAGCCCTTATAAAATATATATTTGTAATTTGTCGTATAGCTTGTATAGGTACCTTTGGAAAGAATTGCTCCAATCCATGTATGTTCGGGTACTACGGACATGGATGCCGTGAGCAGTGTAATTGTAGACGAAATCAGACGTGTGACAGAGAAAGAGGGTGTATTGCTCCTAATACCTCATATTCTAGTAAGTGTTTTGCATTTTTATATATGATTCAATGTCTTCCGCTTAACAAAGGTACTTTTTGCTATTCATGCATGACTGTAGTATGCTTATGCATGCATGACTGTAGTATGCTATTAAGACATCTATTAAGATAGATTTGCATAAAAATCATACAAGTATCCTCAAGGCCAGTTTGAAGCTGACATAATACAGGAAATAACGTCATTGCTATTCTACTTTACGATATTCAAAAGTTACAAATTGTATATCATCGTTTTAAATATGTTCTAATAATCTTTAAAAGCAATAGGCTAACAATGCAGGAAAAAAGAGATGGAAAAGAGTATCATTTAGATTTGAAAATTATTGGATTTATAATTTTAAGATATGGAACAGTTTGAAATAGAGAAATTTAAGATAATTCAAGATTTGTTTTCCCAATATTTCATATTTTCAAATACAGCACAGAACAACAGTATGGAACTTTATACAAGCAGTAGTTTACAAATGATAATACTTATTACATGTGGTGTCCTTATCTTTTTCGTTTTGGGGGCAGTATACAACCTGAGGAGGCAATTGTAAGTCCTTTGAAAGTTACTAATATTTCAAAAGCTAGCTTTGTCCCTAAAATTAAGTTGAATTTTATTTTATTTTATGTTACCTTTACATTTATAGAAAAAAAGAAAACGAAACAATAGCAAATATTGAGGTTACAGGTATGAGGTCTTCATTTTCAGGTATCTTTTTTTAAATTTCTAATTACACTTCAATGAATATTTTTTAAAAGTAAATAGATAACACAGTCCCTCTTTGATATTTCAGCGAATGCATGTTTAGTACAAGAGGGAGGAGATGATATCTACAGCAAAGTAAAAGAATCAACAATGATTGAAAATACAGGTGTCACTGAACCTGAAAAAGATGGAAAGCTTGAAAAGAACAGATCTATGATGACAAAAATGTACAGGAACTTAGCTTGGAAGCATATATATATATATATATATATATATATATATATATATATATATAATATATATATATATATATATATATATATTAAAAAATATATATATATATATGCCTGCTAAGGCTTGTGTAGATATGGATGATTTTGCTTTAGTTAAATCAAATACTTTAATGTCAATGAAAAAGAGGACGTCTGAGCAGGAAACATATAGTAAATAGGGTGAATATGTTGACCAAACATATAAAGAGAATGATCCAATGACTAGATCTGGAGAGAACCGACCACAACTTTTCCGTCCTTACAGCTTTGTTAAGTTCCACTGTCAAGTAGAGCAGGAAGATAATGTAATCAATAAAGGATGAAAAAGTGAAATGTCGAAGAGGGCAAAGTCCTACAAACATTTGAAAAAAAATCACCCAATGGCAAAATTGTTTAAACGTAGAATACTATGAAAAAACATACATTTAAGTCGTCCAACTACGTGGATCAGATTATAACATGTGTCATTTAATGAATCAGTAATGATTTAATCCTCTAAAAATCAATACTATTTTTTTAATGCTTCAATTTTAAGTATCTCATTGCTGTTCTCTTTTCTTAAACAGTTAATAAAGTTTTTTTAACATGACTCAGCTACATTTGAATTATTCACTTTCTTGTAAAACGTAATATTTTGAAATACGAGGGTTGTTCGAAAAGTTCGTGGACAACTGTCATATCTTTTTTATTTGACGTCATATGTTATCCAAATTTGGTAGAAATATTTTACCAATAAATCCAATGATTTGTATTAAAGTTTTTCAAAATATTACGATTTATTCAAAACTTATCTAAATTATAAAAATGCAAAAATCGGATCGCGGAGCAGGTCAAAATTTGGTAAGTTACAAACAAAACACTAAATAATGTCTGAAGTCATAATCTCTGTAAAATGGAGGAAAAACGAAAAACAACCTAGAAATTCAAAATAAGAATTGTTACATCGATTCGTATTTAAAAAAAATATGGCTTTATTTTTTGTTTTGTTGAAAAGCTATCAACATGAGAAAATAGGTAGTCCTTTTTGAAAACGATAAAAACGACTACGTTTGAGAACGTCACTGAGCAGCAAATAACGATGCAATTTTGTGTTTTACCTAAGAAAAATCCTGAATAAACGCAAAAAATGTTGGATGAATCAAGAAATATGTAACAAATGAGTTGTGCTTGCGTGTACAAATGGTAAAGGCAGTATTTGAGTGACAGAGACACAGTATCAGATGAGGATAGTCTGTAAAGAAACGGTTTTACTGTAAAAATCTTAACAAAAACTTTGAAAAGTTGGAACGGCAAGAAAAGACATGGGCGCTTCAGAGTTGCTTATCCTGTGAAAGCAGAGTTAAGTAATTAAAGAAATTAAAACTTAACACAGGCAATTATACAACGAGAGCAATTCTTAAAAAAATAAATTTCAAATATTTAGAAAAAGGATTTAATGTATGGGCATAGGATTATACTCTGTAAAATGTAAAGGGATAGTTTTTTTTTTAGAAATTCTTCACGCTATGCTTTGACGTTACATTGCCGTTAAGTGTGCTCCGCGGGTACAACATGTTGATTTTAAACTGAAGTAAATTGATTTCTGTTAAATCGAATGGAATGAAACTTCACACATCGACAAAACAAATATTTTAACACATTATATTGTACTTATTTAAAATTTCTAGTGAGTAATACAAATTAGATTGACATCGTCCACGAACTTTTCGAACAACCCTCGTATTGTAGGAGAGTCATATTTAAGCTTTGATGTTGGACAAATATCAAAGAATATAAAGGAAAGTAATCTCTGCGTACCCTATTTGACTATATTTTACTTTTTTCGGTTAGAAAATTTTCACATGAAAGATAAAAAGATAAAGCACAGTACTCAAGCTCAAAAGTCTATTAAACAATACAAAATATGAACAGAACAAACCGGACAGCCAAACATCAGAAGTGTGATTTGGCGCCATGGAGGAGTGAACATCTTCTGTTGACCTGTCTCACCCGCCGGAAATAACGTCATTTTCAGTATGTAAATAACAAATGACAATAAAAACCTTAGTCCGCATTTGACTCAATGATAAATTGTATTTGCTGACAAGGCCATTCTATCGACCCTAGAGACTGCTAATATTCTAGTTTTATCGATGTGTTTGTCAATGTTATGTATATCTAAGTTACTTTTTTATTCAAAGATTAAACTTGTGGATAAAAATAAAACTACAAAAAGATTGTTTTTAAAGACAATCTTTTGCTTCTAGCAAACCAGAGAAGTCTTGGATTCAAAACTATCTGAATTTCATGCATTTGAATGTCAATATAGCTTTTATTTAAAATCTTACTATTTTCATTTGTAAAAAAAATAAATCCTTATACAGGGTTTTTGAAACGATTAAATAACAAAAATATAATCATTCATGAGATGCTTTCAAAGTAAAGGTCCAAAGTTCAAAATTCATATCTAACATCTGGCCACGAGGAAATATTTTCCATTATAAACGGTTGAAACAAGTTGTTAAATTTGCAATTGCACATCCGTTTCAAATTATAGATATTTGATTGTTTACAAATGACAATAACTAAATGGAATACATATTCTTATTTTTAGTAACACTGGGTGTCTATTCTATTTCAATTATATCAACTGCAGAATCAGGCATTTGTATTTCGTAAGTACGACAAATCTCGTTAATTTGTAAAATACAAAAGGAGCAATTAAAAATAATTTAAAATGCAATAAAAATACTTGCTTTAAAATATCAAAAATTAATATATAGTATGCAAGAGGCATAGAAGAATGTAGCTAGATATCTTTCTTAAGCATTGGCTAGTTAAACAACAGGTGGATTTTAAAATTAGATGAACTACACCATGACACCTCAAACTGACATAACAACAAAATAAGATACCGGTAAGTGATTGAAAGTGAAATATGTGGATCATTTTCCTAGGAAATGTCTCACTAACTTTAGCTTACTTTTTCAGAAAAGGAGTTATTTATTGTTGTCAGGACTTCAAAAATATTTCAGGAGAGTGTAGAGGTACAGTATTCAATGGATTACTTAAATTTACAAAAAAAAAAAAAAAAAAGAGAAATGACATCCTTTTGAGTTTTATTTTGCTTTTCTACCATAGCATGCATCGGTACATTTGGACAGAATTGCTCAAATCCATGTATGTACGGGTACTATGGACACGGATGTCGCAAGCGTTGTAATTGCAGTCAAAAGCAGTTTTGTGACAGAGAAAAGGGATGTTTGTTTGCAAATGATACATATCTTTGTAAGTATACTATATGCGTCTATATCTATAAAAAATGAGAAAAAGACATTGAATAAAATCAAATATGGACTTGATACAATTGTATACTTTACTTTTTGGAATCTCTCATAGCTTGACAGGTGCATAAAGGAAGTAGGAAATATGAACATGGAAGTAAATGATATATTTTGTCTATATTTAAAATAAACAATACTGGGGGTTCCGGTTAAACGAATCCAATTAAAACTTAGATAATAAACATGCAAGATCCGCTTCCCTGTTTGCAAATTCTTCTTTTTAAATTAATATGAACCATTAATATTTTTGTGATTTTTTTATTGAAACATCCTTAGAAACTGCTTTTCACACCAACAAGGTTGATATCGTTCGGGATGAAACGTAGCTACACCACCCCGTTACGTTTTAAGTAAAGCTGTACTTTTTATAGAGACCTTTTTAAATCTTTTTTTTAAAATGTATTTTATAAAAACGCGTTTAGGGTGTTACTAGACAATTGTTTTTGTTAGATATATAGTTATAAAAAGTATATATAGCTTTCTTTAATAATATGACCAATTATTTTATATTGGATTCTACAAAACAAATAAAATGGTAATTTACTGAAAATTTTGAAAAAACTGCTACTGATAATTTCAATATACAGAGAAAAGGGGTTTAACCTAATATGGGTACCCAAAATAAAATGATAATTTACTGAAATTTTGAAACAAAAACTTGATATAAGTACTGAGTAACGGTGTCTAACCTAATAACCCAAAGATCATGTAATGTATCTATACTCATATAGTACATTTCGTAAGTTCTTCCAGTGTTTTTTGCATAGATCTTTGTAAACTTGATCTTTCCAATTATTAGGTAGTGGGGTTGTGTTAAATGTTTTCTCTATGTGATTATCTGATATAAGTTTACATGACTTTTAAACATATTTCTGAATAGCCATAGACCAAGGTAAAGAACCAGATACAAAAGCTACTTTGCAATCCATCACACTTGCCACATGCGGTGTTTTAATCTTTATCGTTTCTGGGATAGTATTCTACCTTCACAGGAAATTGTAAGTATATTAAAGGTTTATCATATGAAAAGTGTTCAATGCCTTTCACTTTCTTTGTCATTATTCTAGACAACTTTTTAAATTTAATTAATTTTTATAGTAGAAAGAATGGATCGGATACTGGTACTGATGCTACGAAAATTTCATCTTCTTCAGGTATTATTTTAATTTTCGTTTGAATATGGAGATAGCGGACGGTATTCAAGTTCATAAATTCACTTAAAAATACAAATCAGGAGCAGAGCAAACACGACCACTATACCATTAAAGGTGGGATCAGGTGCCATGGAGGAGTGAGCATCCCTTGCTGGCCTGTCACACGCATTGTATGCTCCATAAACAATAATATTAATGCTATTAAACACTGTTTTAAAAATACATCTTATTGTTATTTCAGGGGATGCGTGTTTAGTACCAGGAGAATACTTATACAGTGATGTAAGAGAATCACAAATGATTCAAAACACAGATTTTGTTTCATATGAAAAATGCAAAAAGCATGAAGAGAATGGGTCCAAGATGAGAAAAATGTGCAAGAGCTTACCGTGGCATGAAGAAGAAAGGCAAGAATCGATTAATAAATATAGTACTCTAGATCAGACATATGATGGAGGACTTGGTAGAAGCAGTGATGTGACTTACATGGGACATTGTAGAAGAAGTGATACATACAACTGTTTGCAACTGAACAATATGTCTACATGTACATTACCTGCTAGGGCTTGTGTTGATGTTAATATGAATGATTATGCTTTGATGAAATCAAATATTACAAAATCAATGAAAAACATAAATTATGCAAAGGAAAACTTTTCTAAAAGGGATAAATATGGTGACCAAACACATAAAGAGAATGGCTGTATGACTCAATCTGAAGTGGACCAATCAAGGCTTTTCCGGCCTTACAGCACTGTTAAGTACCTCCGTCAAGTAGAGCAGGAAGATAATGTAAACGGTTATTAAGGAATAAAGAAGTAAAATGGAACAAAGTCCTGCAAACATTTGAAAAAATCATGCACTATATACAAAATGTTTAGATGTTTGATAATTCAACCGTATCTAACAAGTATTGTTTGTGCTAAGGACCAGATTCAAGTTCATTAGTGTCGAACATTGATGTTCACAATTCTGCGAATGACATTGTATCTAAAGATGTGATATTTATGATTTATAAACATTGTATATAAAAAAATTTTTAAATAAACCTAAAACGGATTTGGCATACAAATGTAACGATTTTACCAATGTTATATATAATTTGAAACGTTGAAACAATAAATTATAGATTTCTTTGTCTTCTAATTTATTGGCACATGCCAGAGTCGAAAGAAAATCATAGCAGACTCATAGCCGAGAAACAAACCACATCAGGATCACACTTCTTTAGTTGCCATTTCTATGAGTTTTACATAATCAATTTAATGGATCATGTCTAAATCATACTTCAAAATCATGAATTTAAGTGTTTGATATGATTTTTATGTGATTTTGGCATGATTTGTTAAAAAGGCTTAGAGGAAAAATCGTTTATATCATTACGAATCCGGGGTCCAAGTCTTCTATCTTGTTGCCATATTGATAATAAGCTTTGACGTCATTTACCAACATTAACCACACTCTAGATTGTCTGCAGAAAAATATACCATTGACAAAAAACATTGGTACCAGTGGCTTGCCAATGGTAATTGATTTTACCAACGGCAACTTTTGTCTACCAACGGCAGAACTGTGAACGCACCCATTGTTTCTAAAGATTGATATTTATGATTTTTTTTTATTGTATATATAAAAAAATGTTACATACTTGATTGATAAAATACACAGATTGTTTTAAGAACTAGGAATTGAAAGGTAAAGAATTGACCAATGCTTGGAATTATAGAAATTTTTCCAACAATCCGCACAAATCTTACATCGTAAACGTTAAACAATATACAATCTTACATCGTAAATTGCAATTTTTTGCATTACAGAATCTGTAAAGACTAATGTAATGTAATTAAAAACATAGCACCACAGTTCTACAGTATCATTAGTGAAACAACATCGAATTTGATTTTGGCAATCAAGCTCCATTTGAAATATTATGATTATTTCCTGAAAGTACTTTAATAAGATCATATGAAAATAGATTTATAATTTAAGCACCAAGCAAAATTAAAAATAACATAAAAGTCAATGAACTTTTATTGAATCACTTCAATAACTGAGTGTTCCTAAACCAGATAGCTCTGAATTCATATGATGAATGTATATATATAAAAAAAAGAACGGTAATCGAAAGTGAAAACAATGAAACAGCCAGTAGAACAAACACATATCTTTAAAATATCAGAAGCAAAATGCAGAGGTAAGAAACTCCTGTAAGCAAATTATAGCATCCCTTTGCTCTTTCTCAGATATTGGGCAGACGGAGAAATAGATTGTAAATTCAGTATGAAAATAACAGTTCTAACAGTTGATATGAACAAAATTAGTGAACATTAGACAAGAAAGAGTTTTCTTAAATAAGATATCATAATCAATTCAGAGATGCTTAAGTTCAGTTTCTTCGTAGAAAATATATATTGAAAAAGCTTTGAAACAAAAACTACATGAATTTTGTTAATGACAAAGAACAATGTTCGAGCTCAAACGTCCATAAAACAATACAAAAAAGAACCAAAACATCAGAGGTGGGATCAGGTGCCATGGAGGAGTAAGCATCCCCTGCCGACCGGTCAAACCTGCCGGGTGCTCCTTGTCATGATCGGGAAAACAAAGAAAAATCCGTCGTCAATTAAGTATATAATAAATATTATAACAACTAAAATGAAAACGGCAGTTAGCATTTGATTCAATGATAAATTGTATTTGCTGACAAAGTCATTGAACCGCGAGACTGCTTATATTCTTGTTTAATCAATTTTTTTGTTTTGTTTATTTACTTTGTTTTTAAAACTTGTACATAAATAAAGCATGTTCTAGTATATCAAATCAAATGAGGAATATAAACGCCATATTCAGATGATGAAGGTATATTGCTGTGTTTTTAAGGAAAGTTGATGATTGAAAAGTTAAAGACATCACGTTTATCATAGAGCTTAGTTGAGATTACTATTAATGTTTTTTTACGTTAAATATTCAAATATGAAAGAGATGTGTCAGACTCTGTGGTATCTTTTATCTCAAGCTCACCAGCTCACAAGCTCGACATAAGAATGGAAATTACCATTCTTAATTGACAATACGTTGTCAATATATCTAAATGTAGGGTTGAGGGTCACAGCAAGTGTTTACTTCTGTTCACATTTAGGATTTTGGACAAATTCAGCTTAACTTATTATGAATACAAAAATAGGTCTGTTTATAACGGGTAGCCATTGGTGCCCATGATTACTCCAATAGATTGTTGGAAGACCTGGTATCCAAAAACCACATAGATACTGTCAATCAGAATCTCAAGTTTGTTGTTGATATCAACTTCAGAGAACTTGTGTTTTAACAAAATAATTTTGCAAAGGAACAATGACCAGGAAAATTTACGAAGCTGTCAATGTTATCAATATGCATGGATTTTAATTTATCGTGGGGAGTGGTTGTGTATTAAGTTGAAAAGTAGTAAGTTTTTAAAGAATTTTAAAAGACTGTAAACCTGGTAACAAGTTAGCTTTTTTGAAAACAAACATGTATTCAGCCACAGGGATACAGAAATTTTTTTTCTCCTTTTTCGATGGTATCTGATGTGTTGTATCCGCATCAGTGTATTTCTTAAATATAATTGCATTCGAAGTTAAATTCACCTAAAAGTTTTATTATTTTTTGTCACAAAATGCTGTACATAATAAAAAATAATAAAGCAATAGAATAATTTTTAGCTAAACTACATTATGGTGACCTCCAATTAATTTTAGATTTTTTTTTTGGTGAATAATACACACACATCTGCGTAAATTCTAATAGTTTTGTAACCCTGAGGCACACTCATCAATGCTTCGACATCAAAAACATACACTTAGCTTCGTGTGTTTCTAAAGAAAAAATTCTGACAGAAAGGCCAAATACCAATTCATAAAAAATGCTAGGCACTTCAAATATGTTTTTCCAGCAATTTCTAGCATTTGTTTATTTCTTTTACTGCATAATTGTGCTTTCATGGATATCCCGTTTCTTCACAGATCGTTTTCACCCGATGTAGTTTTCATCCTTCAAATTCCACCTGTGCCAATTAAACACACAGGCACGACTCGTTTTTGACATATTTCTGTCTTTTAAAACATGAATGTACTCAGAACATGTTCTTGAGTAGCGAAAAAGATGAGAGACATAAACACCCTATGCACGTGATAGCGGAATATAAGAAAATGTTGACAATAAAAAAGTTTGTCCTCTTCTTTTCATACAGTCATCTCATGTAGATTTTTTTTAAAACACGGCAACTTATAAATGAGCACAATAAGTGGCCATCGCAGGGAAGCGGCAGTTTTTTTATTTCCACAGGAAAAGCAGAGTAGGAGCTCATTATCATAAGCGGAAAATATCGGGAAAATTCGTTGAAAATTCAGTGTGTGATAATTATGTAATAATTCGTATTAAAACGTTAATCGGCATTTGACATAATAATGAATTGTATTTGCTGACAAGGTCATTGTATCGATCATAGAACTTACAAAATGATGACTTTAAACTTTAAAAATGAAACGGCAAGAATGACCGATGTGTAGTAGAGAAAATATGTCACTTTTGTTTATGTGTAGATGCACCTGTGATTGAGTAACATAAGATTAGAAGGTAAAAAAGTATATTAAGCTATAAATTACAGAAGAAATTAAAATTATCTTTATATTTATCACTCTGGTGTATGCATTTTATTTTAATAAATGGTTTGTAAATGTTTCTATTAATTTATTTCATTTTATTTATTTGTATTCTTAAAGATCATAACATTAAACTTTTGCTACCTCTATTGTCTTTTATTTAGTATTATGTAGAATGGATGGAACTATTTCGATTTTATTGAATGTACTTAATCATTTCAACTTCAGATAATCACGCAATAATCACGTATTGTTCGCATTTCAAAAGTCCAAAGATCAAATCAAGTGTCTGACCACCAGGAAATATTTCTAGGAATGATTTGATGTATTTTTGTAGTGTATCCTTTTCGTATTAGGTTATATAGCTTTTGAACAAAATCACAAAAACTGAATGGCACACATATATTTATTGTTTGTGACATATTTTTTATGCTCAGTTTCATTTACATCGACTTCAGACATAACGATTTGTAAGGATTCGTAAGTATTATTTAAAACGAAACAATTTGATTAGATTTTTTTCATGTTTTCAAAACTTTCCAAAACAATGAATTTTTATTGCTTAACTCTGATTAAGAAACACATTATAAAAAAAATACTTACAAACAATGTTAATGAAAATTTTATTCAGTGGAGGGAATCGTCTATTTTTTTAGAATTCATTTTATCGAGCAGTCAAATTAGTCATATTCATCATGTCTCATCAGTTTAAAAAATTGAAAATATCGACTTAAAGACCCCCTTTTTTTACCGAACGGTTACCTGGGGAGGGGAAGTGGTTTCAGTAATAACTGTTTACGTAGCATTACACAGAAAGTCTGTCTTATGTAATCAAGGTTAACATTATGTGTTTTATGTCTAATTTTGAGTAAAACTACTTATAATAATGAAGATATTTTACTATGAAATTTATTTGTAATATAATCACCAGTCTGATATCGTTTGAAGAAGAAAAAATTATTAAGAAAACGTTTTTTTAATTTTTAAAATGTAAATTAAACAAAAAATCACACAAGTTTCAACTGCATGAAAAGCAATCGTATGATCTATATATTTTTTAAAATAACAGTCTTGTGAATATGGAAATAAAGATATGAAACAATTTATGTATTCCATTTAGGGCATATCTGTCGTGTGAACATTTACCGCGATCAGAATTTTTTTTGTTCTGGCCAACAAAAGTGTCCAAAATACATGTATTCATAATTTTCCAGTTTTCGTGTGTTTACAAAATTGTTATTGTTTTGCAAAATTTCTTCTTTTTCTATCGAGCATTGTTCGTTGTCTTATATAACCGTTTTATTAGGAATAGAGACAGACATTAGAGGAAATTCGACCCTAACTAACAATCTCGAAACTCGCGTATTCGAGCAATAATTCTAACCATTTCTTTACAACATGGTGTATATTGTATCTATATAATTATACAATGATAAAACATCGCTTACAAGTACCATACTGTCGTGCAGATTAAAAACAAGTATTTTGCAAAGTCAATGTTTTATTCATCTACTCTCAATTATTTTTTGTTATAAAACTACCAACACCACTGGGATATTTTAGCTCGCGTGTACACAAGGCGGGTACATGAAAGTGTTTGACGTGTGACCAGGCAGCACGGGTAGCTGGCCTGCCAATCAGATCAGAAGTTATTGGGTTTTTTAATGATTGACAGGCGGTAAATTATTGATATTGAATAGGGTAGATTTGGGGGGCGTTAACATAAAATTGGGTGTTTAAATAAAATATGTTATTTATTTTTCTAATTAATATCAAATATTTTACCAAAATTACAGAAATGGAACACAAAGTTGTTGTCAAGACTACAAGAATATTTCAGGAAAGTGCAAAGGTATCTTTTCTTAAACACTTATTTCCTTGCTACGCGTGGCTCATACTGAAAGCTTACTTACTTTGTTTTTTTATAATTAATTGTTTTAATTCACAGCTTGTATTGGTTCTTATGGAAAGGATTGTTCAAAGCCATGTAAATATGGATACTACGGCCATGGGTGTCGCGAGCGGTGTGACTGCAGTGAAAATCAGATATGTGATAAAAGAAGAGGTTGTTTGGTTTTGCATGATGATTATTTTAAAAGTAAGTTTTTTTTTATTTTAAAATGTGTTTTTTTAATACTTTATGCAAGCAAATTCATCCATTTGTTTATTTTTAACCAATTCTCGCCTTTATCGCTGATTATCGTGGATTAATATTAAAAGGAGCGAATTCAAAGAACACAGTGTAATTTCTTTAATAGATCTGAGAGTGGGCTAATTCAAAACGTTTCCATTTCCAAAACGGTGAAAGTAATCCTGTATTCTGTATAAGTCATTTTTATCAGAGCAATGGTGATTTCTTCTGCGTATTTTGCATTTCAAAGTCATGGGCGGATCCACTAACACGTAGGCTCGGATTTGTGATTATGGATATTGCAAATCATAGGCTTTTTAAACCCGCATCTAAAACAAACCGTCTTTTCCTTAAACTTCAATATGCCAATAAAGGAATTGACGCGGTTAATACAAGTAATATTCTTAATCACAAAAGGGTCCAATCTTGTATTCACCCATATTTCAAGATAAAGACTACACCTTGTATTTCCTACAAATATACATCGACAATTGCTTACAAATTTTCAATTACAAAAAAACTTTACATGGCCTGGATACAGAGTATCTGAAACATAATCCTCCATCGTGTTCATGTTCTTCTCTTCGCCCTATAACTATAGTCCTGCTGGACACGTTATTACAGGTGACGTAAATATATTCAAGATCACTTATTTTAAAAGGTCCTAAATATAGGGAATTCCGATCCTTCAACTTGCGTCTGAATTTCATAAATATTATGGATTCTGTTGAAAATTACGCCAGACGCTGGGCCAGATATGAAAAAGAGGAAGTTGACACCTTGTCGGAATGGATTAAATGTATAGGAACCATGCTTAAGTCGCGTATCAAAAGATTAAGGGGCAATATGAAAACCATCTATCCTTCAGTGTTCAATAATCCAGAAGTGAAAAAAGAATTAGATAGATTACATGATCAGTACGCACTGGTCCCTGCCGACAGAGCAGGTATACAGCATTGTCTTTGTTTGTAAGGCTCATTGTTTAAATTGCATTTTAGAAGAACTTGTATTTAATTCTACAAATGGTAATCCTACTTTTACTCATACTTCCCTTTCTAAGGAAGAAATTCTTCAAAATCATATGTGAGTTTTAAATATTTTTAATATACCACAGAGCCAAAATGAATTTAAACTACCCTATATATATTGGATTCCGAAACTTCATAAAAATCCTTACAAACAAAGATACATTGCAGGTTCCAGTAAATGTTCAACCAAGCCTCTTTTGTTACTCCTTACTAAGATATTAACAGTAGTGAAGGAAAAACTTCACGAGTACTGTGCAACAATACATTCAAGAAGTGGTGTGAATCAGGTGTGGATACTCAAAAATTCTAAAGAACTTTTGGACAATTTGAAATCACAAAATTTTACCAAAATCAACAGCTTAAAAACTTATGACTTTTAAACTTTATACACAACCATTCTCCACGATCAAATAAAGTCAAGGCTTTTTTAATATCATTGACAGCTGCTTTATCAATAAAAATGGAACTCGTAAATTTACTTATCTGGTCATTGGTCATCTGAAAAATTATTTTGTTAAAACACTTTCTGATGGCACACACAAGTACTCTGAAGTTGACATCAAAGAGATGCTCGAGTTTCTGATTGAAAATTTCTATGTCTATTGGAATTCCAATGGGTACCAATTGCGTCCCGTTATAAGCAGACCTATTTTTATATTCATATGAAGCAGAATTCAAAATCTTATGCGTGAAAAGAAAAAAAAACACTCGCTGTGACCTTAATCTCGACATTTAGATATATCGACGAGGTACTGTCAATTAACAATAATAATTTCCTTTCCTATCTCGATACGATTTATCCTGGTAAATTTGAGATAAAAGATACCACAGACTCTGACACATCTGTTTCATACTTGGATATTTTACTTGAAAAGGACGTTAATGGTAATTTTACAACCAAGCTATATGATAAATGTCATGACTTTAACTTTTCTATCGTCAACTTCCCTCACTTAAGTATCAGTCACATTATCCAGCGATGGGGTATACGATGAGAAACCGATGCGTTTTTTAATGAAGATGGCGTGGTTGCCGGCCGGGCACCACTAGTGATCGGAAGGTGACTGAGGTCATTTTGCGAATCGGTGGGGTCATCGGTAGGAAATAATTCGTAGTTAAAATTCAGTGATGTCTCCAACGATGCCTCACATCGCTCCTCATCGGCAACCCATCATTGACACATCTTTCACGGATCGGCCGATGTATGGCCGAGCATCGTCCAATATCCGTTGAATCTGAGGTCATCGGGGGGTTGAGTGGTGTCCAACAGATAACGGCCGATCATCGGTCGATATTCGACCAAACATTGGCCCGTAGTCAACCGATGTTCGAACGATGTTCACCAATGTATGAGCGATGTAATATACATCGGCCGATTATCCTGGAACATCGTTTTATGATTAGCAATGCATCGCTGTGCCTTTGTAAGTCCGGCCGGCAACCACGCCATTTTTTTCATAAAACGCATTGGTTGCCCAACGTATACCCATCGCTGGATAATGTGACTGATACTTTAAGGACTACTAGGCCGATGTTGGCCGATGTTGGGGCATCGCTAACACCACGGATTACCAACGATTACCACCGGTCTACGGCTACCGGCCGGGAAATGTGACCTAGGCATTATGCAGCAATATACCTTCATCTCCTGCATACGGAGTATATATATCTCAGATGATTCGATACGCAAAATCATCCTCTATGTATGAACAGTTTCTAAAACGAGGTAAATTATTGACAAGCAAGTTGATGAAACAAAAATATCATGAGTCTCTTTTTAAGTCATCATTTCCTAAGTTCTGTGGTCGATACAATGACTTTGTCAGCAAATACAATTTATCGTTAAGTCAAATGCTGGCTGACGTTTTACATACTAATTGTTAGTCTATTATTTATAATCTGAATTGACGACTGATTTTTCCGTTATTTCCTAATCATGATAAGGAGCACACGGCGGATGTGACCGGTCAGCAGGGTATGCTCACTCCTACATGGCACCTGATCCCACCTCTGATGTTTCGGAGGTCCGTGTTTGCTCTGCTCCTATTTTGTATTGTTTTATGGGCTTTGAGATTGAATACTGTTCGTTATCTCCATATCCTTCCCTTCGAAGGAATTTATCTTAAAAGGCAATAAGGGTTCAATAATTTAAAGAATTTATAAGTTTTAAAAGGTGAAAAACCATTAAAAGTATAGCAACTCAGCTATTTAATTTTGAGTTCCTATTTTTTTCATTAAGATATAACTAAAGGTGATTATAAAAGATCCGAGGTAAGCAGTCATAGCCTACAATCCATGATGATAATAATTATTTGCGGTGTTCTTGCTCTTGTCTTCATCGTTTTGGGAATGGTATGCTACCTTCGAGGTACATCGTGAGTATATTTAAATTATATATTTTATCATTGAAAATTAAATGGTTCCTTTAACGTAATTTTAACTTTATTTTACATATTGATATTTTTTATCTAACTTTTAGGACGGAGAATGGGTCAAATACAAATACTGATGTTACGGAATCTTCACCTTCAGGTATATTCATTTTCTTTTTTTTGTTTAATTCAGTTTGTTTCAGAGTAGGAATATTTTCTCTCTTTTTTTTCAGGGAATACATGTTCGGTGCAGCAGGAACAAGGTGAATACGTTTATAATGATGTACGCGAATCGCGAATGATTGAAAATACGAGAATGATTCAACCAGAAAATGTCAGTATGCAGAGCAGGTCAACGATAATCGAAGAGTGCATTAGTGTACCAAACCAGCGTCGAGAAAAGGTGCATGAAACAATGTCTTCTAGCCATCTAGACCTGGGATATTATGGAGGATGCGGTGATAACTACTCTCGATTACAACTTAAAAATATGCGTACATGTACTTTGCCTTCTAAGTCTTCTGTCAATATGAATGAATATGCTTTAATGAAACCGAATCTACCAGCTGTATTAAATGAAGACATTTCTGCTGAAAAGGAAAATTTTAAAGAGGATGAATATGCTAACCATTCAATAAAAGAAAATCCCACCATTGAAAGATCTAGGGTGAACCAGTCAAAGATTTTCCGGCCGTACAGCTCTGTGAAATACCATCGTAAAATTGATCAAGAATAGGCTATTTTCATAACTCTTTATATAGGTCTTGAACATTTAAATAAATTAATCGATATTAAAAAAAACATCTTTTATATTTTAAAACAAGTGTCTTAAATATAATAAGAAAAAGGTATGTAATACTCGTTAATTAAAATCGCGCAAAAAAAACTTTCCCAAAAAATTTTTTTACTGTGCCTTTTTACTTTTTTTTTTTTTTTTTTTTTCAAAAAATGTTTCATGTTTATTTGATTATTATTTTTTGGCTTCTTTATCAATTTAAATTTTATGGTGACAGTTTCTAGTATTTCCTATCATTTTGCGACCAAATCCGCGTCGAAACCTTTATCAGATCTGAAATGAGCCCTGTCTTAATTCACGCTTGTCGCGTTCTACATGTATTCTACTTTACAGATACTTTTAATTCCTGTTTTGGTCATCATCTTCTTTCTTTTCTGTTTTTAAAAATTCATTTCATCTCCTATTTTCAAAGTGAACATACAGATCCATGATTTATTACTGTGTTTAATTATTTATTTCTATTACCGAGGTCCCACTAGTTAGAAGTATCATTAAAGTTAAATTTGTATTTACTACATGTATGCTGTGTTGAAAGTGATATTGGAATCAGTGATCAGTAACACCCCACACTCCCCCGAAAAACTAAAATTCTTTAATCAGCATTAAAAAGGGATAATTATTTTCTTTAATGCATAATATCAATAGAGGAATATTTAACATCAAAAGTTAACATTAAATACTTCTAAGTATGTGAAAGTTAAGATATACTTAAGTCACCTGTACCTGTCACCTAAGGTTTGCTAAAACTGCCAAATCTAAGTACGCTTCTAGTTAATATGTTTCAAAATTCTTTGTGAATATGTTTCAAAATTCTTTGTGATTCTTAATATTATTTATAGTGTTATTTGCTGTATCTGCTGCCGTGATAAACTATATATACATGTATTCACATTTTTTAATCCACTATATTGCACACTAGTTTTTTTGCTATGCTATTTTTCATGTAACTGGAAACTTTATGTTTAAGATATGTTTAAGATGAATAAGTTAAAAGATCATCAAATGAACTTGTAATGCCAGATTCAAACTATGTATGTGAGGAAAAAAAATATTCATGTCTTTGTAAAATTCATTCATTCTGATGTGTTATTATAATTTAATTTTATTATCACAAAACTCTATATATTGATCTTGTTTATAAGCTGTAAAACATAAAAAGACCCGTATTTGAGGGTGACCTGGCCCTAAATACTAGTTACAGTGAGATTGATATAGACTTCTTTCTTTCTTTTTTTTCCACACAATCTCCACTGCAACAAGAGTCATGCTTCTGTTGGTGTTAAACGTATACTTTGGTATTATATATAAAAATGATGCTAATTTGCGTTGAGATATTTATGTATATGTATGAAAATGAAGCGTCAATAATTATATATTAGTATAATGTTGTTAAACGTAAACTTTGATTTCATATATAAAAATAGTGCTAATGTGCTTTGAGATATTTATGTACATGTATGAAAATGAAGTGTCAATCATTATATATTAGTATAATGTGAAAAAAATTCTGTGTTCAAATATTGGAGATATATTATATAATATTATATCAATACAGGGAGGTCCTGGCACCCCTGGTAAGGTATTACCAGAGGGCTTCTGCGGAAGTTTTGCCTCACTGTTATGTTGTACGTTATTGAATAAAGGATTTGAATGAAAAAAAAAGAACGCTTCTAGTTACGGTCTTAAGTTTTAGACTCTACTTAAGTCCTGCTTTAGCACGGTTTTATACTAAAGTAGTCTTGGTGCTACGACTCTTAGGTGCTTTTGAGGAGTGAGCATCCCCTCCCAACCGGTCATACCCGCCGTGTGCTCCTTGCCATGATCGGGGGAAACAGAAAAAAAATCTTTTTTACAATTCAGTGTGTAAAAAATGGCTGTAACAATTTGCATGTAAACGTCAGTCTGCATTAACCTCACTAAGGAATTCTGTAATTCATTCTCCGACTTTTATTCCAGTTTTTCTTTCTAAGGAGAATAAAATAAAGAGATAACAAAAAAATTTACATAAAAAGTTTATTTAAACAATAAAAATCTAAGAAAGGAAGAGCAATCACCGACGTCTAGAACAAAAGAGGTGCATGGGATCAGGTGCCTCGGAGGAGTGAGCAACTTCTTCTTACTGGTGACACCCTCCGTATGCTTTAATTTGCTTGACTATACAATTGACCTTTATGAGTACTATTCAGTTTGATTATGGTGCTATTATTTTAAAAATATGACATCATAAAGTTCATATTTCCCGTCATATTAGAATATTGTATGAATTTCAAGCAGTTTTCTTTCCAAACAATATTCAGTACAGCCTTGAACAAAACCAAACTTTACCAAAAGTGTATGAAAAATATTAGGGATGTCAAATCGGTCAATTTTTAATACTCGGTTACTCGGACGTTTTTCCGATCGAGTACTCGGGTACTCGGTAAAAATCTAAATAAATTAGAACAAGTTAATTGATAACTGTAAAAAAATTGTAAACTCTACCACATGGTCTGATGGGAGGTTTACCTGTAAATGTGTTGTAACAATTATGACCACTTTGTGTTTAAAGTTTAATCTAACATTTTTATTTAGTTCAATTTATTTAACAAATAAATACGAGAAATAAAATAATAAATGGTTCACAGTAATTTTGTTAAAAAAAATAAATCTGTTCCCTAATTGTAATGTAAATCTTTGATGCGTTTGACTCCGTGATAAGTTATCAGAGCTACATGTACAGTATCAACTTGATGACAGAGCGGATTTACGATCTTCCTACACTTTTTGATCCTAGATTTCAGAAAATTACAAGATGGTATATTGTGGTTTGGTGCAACGATGGACATAAGATTTTGGAAGCCTTTGCATTCAACAATTTGCATTAATTGGCACGTAACCAAACGCATCTATATCAACAATCGCACGTGCAATATCGTCTGTCTCTTTCTTAAAGAATTTACGGCTTCTGGAGGACAAAATTAATTTATTTAAACATAATGGACCTTAAACGATGTTCAATGAAAACAAATAATTAGAGCAAACTAAACATAAGTGTAGAAGATAGCCGAAGGTGAGAATCCCAGGTAGCAGGTGCTTGGTCACGGTAATTACTGTATATAAACACTGCCACATGCGATAACGGTCATTTAGAGGCACAGGAAACCCTAATTACCGTATGTACAAGTGCAATGAACATTTAACGTTTCAAAACTGATGTTTTAATGCATTAATAAATAAGCTTATAAATATTTAGAAATATACATCCGAGTAAGCGAGTACCGTTTTTAGTATTCGATAATCGGACGTTCGATCGAGTACCCGGTTAACCGGGTACTCGTTGACATCCCTAAAAAATATGGATATACCTAACAGTATCAAAGATCAAAAGTCTATTAATCAATACAAAATAGGAGCAGAGCAAACAAGGACCTCCAAAACATCAGAGGTGGGATCAGGTTCCATAGAGGAGTGCGCATCCGCTGCTGACCGGTCATACCCACGTGTGCTCCTCGTCATGATCGGGAAATAACGATAATCCATCGTCAATTCAGCGTGTAAATGATAGACCAACAATTAGTCTGAACGTCAGTCAGTATTTGACTTTATGATAAAATGTATCTATACAACACTATATACTGACAGGAAAATTGTGCATGTTCCAAGCAGCGCTCGATGTGTCCCATTAGAAAAAAAAAACAACGATAAATGCCTAATTTTCTCTCATATTGGTTGAATTGCAAAAATTGTATCATTTCTGACGTCATTTATAGCCTATGAGTGCATAAAAATGTAAAAAATGTATTGAAAATATTCCGATGTACATATTCTTTTCTACAAAATAAAAATCAATTATGTATACATATATATTAATTTCATTTTAGAATGTTGATTTTCAAGGACCAAAATTTATTCTTGTCATATACATTTCTCTTTGGCTCTTTACCGGTATATGGTGACGTCTGAATAGTAAAAAATTTTGAATGGTACGAAATATACCATACAAACAATCAGCCTTGGAGGAAATTTTCCAGCACCAGCCCGATCCACAATTGTTTGATCAATTTTAATGTCCATTTAGTAGAAATAATTTATTATTATAAGTCTAAATTATCTTTATAAAACTAATGGCATTTGTACAATATGATTATTTTAAGATTTTACGGTAGCAAATAGCATGCAAATGAGATTAATAGGAATCAGTGGATTATGTTTCTCTCCGGTGTTGTATTTCGGTTGTATCTAACAGAACTTTAAGGTCGCAAAAGTCTGGATTCAAGTGTCAGTGTACTTATAATCTTATTTGTATCTCTATATGTTTCGTTGTAAATAGCACCACTGTTAATACCCACCCCCACCCCTTACCACAAAAAAATAAGATAATAAGATATTAAGAGTACATGAGCAATTATCGTCGTTTCTAAATTATCACTTTTGGCAGGATTATGTGAAAAACCTGTCCTTGTAATTAAATAAGGCCGGGAAGAAAGACATTAATTGTCAACGTTAGTTGATGAATGTATACGGAGTATAACGATGACTAATTATGATTCTGTGTCAAAAAGACTTTTGCTCCTTCTTATTTTCTCGATGTCTTGCATGCGAAAGGTACTCACAAAACGATCAGAAACTAACTATAACATTGTTCTTATGATTCTATTTCATTGTTTGAATCGCTCAACATTTTGTTTTCGACAAAATCGCCCTAATGAGATTTTTAGCGTTTAAGCTGGGACGAGACATCCGAAAACGTCACATTTCTATCATACACAGTTTTCTTACCTTTACGTTATAACAGAACACTTTATATATAAAATGCTCACTTGTAACAGCTAAACATCCCTTTTTCCTTTGACATATCTGCTCGTTACTACAATTACACTCTTCTTTGCAACCGTGTCCATAGAATCCGAACGGACATGGCATATTGCAATGTTTTCCGTAAAAACCAATACAAGCTGAAGATGATATATGAAAAAGTAAAAAAAAACATCATGTACTGTTTAAATTTGGAATCATATTTCATTTTTTAAAATTA